CATGTGACTTTCCTTGCTTAAAGGAGCTCCGTCATGGTTTGTGCATCTTGAAAAGTTTAGCCTAAATTTTACAAGTTTCACCGTTTGTAATCCGTGTTAATCTTCTCTGTCATTAACCATACTTGTTTCTTTATGGTTTATTATTATTATCCTTTTAGTGTTTTTCTATCTTAGTAAGCTGTTATTTTCAGGTCTACTTCAACTTAAAGGTGATTTTGCACGTGGCCAAAATAACTCCAAAGTACCGTGACTGAACTCCTTTAAAAAAAGCGACTGGATGTTTACCCTCTTCAGACTTTACATTGAACCCTGCTTCTCTTAATAATCGCAGTTGGTTAATACAGTAGAGTAAATCATGTCAATTCATACTTGCAACGTGAACTATACTCCAGGTAGATTTCTTGAAAGGATATATTTATCGCCATCATGCCTGGTGGAACAGGAATCGACGAAGCACAGTCCCTATTAAGTGGATAATTCTCAGGATATCCGGGACTTTTTAGCGTGTTATTTATCACAGGGCCACAACCTATTGAAGGAAAAGTATAAAATATGAGAATTAAAGAAGAGTTATACTGAATGGACTAAACGAGACTGTGGGTATTTCCATTCAGCAGGGATTACCTATATGTATGGTTTGTGACAAATGCAGATATGCAGTCTGCAGATGGCATTCTTCGACTTTTTAGTATACCCGGTAAGTGGTTTGTTTGTTTGTTTGTTTGTGTTTTTGCAGTACTTTTAGGTTTCAATGCCTGGGACTGGCCACCAAGCCTACTAGGTATTAGTATGAACCCATCACTATTGACGGACTCCAGCTATCACGTTGTTGAAAATATTTCTATTAAATAATTAGATTATAAATAAAACTGTTTGAGCGATCTGTGCTCATAGTTCTTTAAAAAACGTTTAAAACAGATCTAANACGAACAATAACGTCCCAGCTTATTAAAATTCTGTGAATCGCGCGAAATCATCATTCTCTGAAGAAGACCGCAGAAGGCGGTCGAAAATTTAGAGACAACTTTACTTTTTAGATCTGTTTTAAACGTTTTTTTAAAGAATTAGTTTATAAGCTCGAGATTTCTATGAGGTGATAGTTGATGAGGCCGAAGGTTGAATCAACTTTCACCTCATAGAAAGCGAGAGCGAATAATCTAATTGTTTTAGTAGAATTCTAACTGAAATTAACGACAGTAACGGTTTCCAATTATCTTTCTACGCATTATGAAGCTTCATGCTTTAACAAAATCGCACGCACTGAATTGTCACTGGAAATTTGTGTGATAAAACACGCCGCATTGGAAAATAATCGACCTTATTTGTTGCGCAAGGAGATTGCCAAAAGTCACCTAAGTAACCGTATTTGTCAGCATTGCGGCGTAAAAACAAGCACGGTGACCCCCTCTTTTTACTACGTTTTTAATATCTTCTTGTCCTGTAGCAACAACACACCAAGTTTCACCGGAAATCTATGGCGGATTCTTTTACTAGGGAATCACCTTAAGTAAAATCGTTTTAAGTCCGTACTTCCAGGTAAAAAAGTTTCTCGCAGGGGAGAGGGATTGATCTTAAACTGTACTGTGTTACTCTGAAATCATTTTCTCACCTTCTACTAAAACCACCCTCTTGTCAGTTCCATACTTGCTGGTGCCCTCGCACGTGTAGTTGCCCTCCTCGTACAAAGGGAGGGTTGCAGTGTTAGTTGTATTCAGCAGTACTGTAGAGCCCCATATCAGTGCTGTGTATATGGGAGGAGTTCCTCTGGCTGAACATGACACTTTGTTACCCGGAGTGACTGGTTCCTCTGCAGAAACTATCTTGGGTGGAACTAGTACAATAGTGGTTTAAATCAGTTGACCTCACATGTATTATTCAACCAGCGCGAGGTCCAATATACGAGAGACGGGAAAAATCGAGACAAGTGTTTTTCAGGTCGACTTTGAAAGTGAAGCTGAAATTTCCCTCAAACAATCAAGGGGAAATTTTGACCTAATAACAAACTGTTTTCTTGTGTGCATGTTTTAAAGATGCAGTCCGTCGAAACTGATTCATGAGTGGTCCATCTAAGCGATTCGTATTGTAATTTTCAAACCGATCAGGAACCAATAAGAATTCTCTTTTTCATCTTGGACCAGTTTGCCATATAATAATAAGACGAAAATAATCCATCGTCACAGCACCTCAAACATTGTAAATCCATAAAAATTACCAATTACCGTGTGGAACAGCGGTGAAATATAGGTGAAATCCTCTTCTCTCTCTAGTATTGTCGGAGTGGAATGTTATCGACACCTGGTCTCCGGCTAAGAAAACTTCCTCCCCAGTCTTCTGACCACAGTACGTACCAACAATCTGTTGCTTATCATTTACAATCCTGAGATAGTCAAAACTGTTAAAAACATAATGATAATCAATTTGACCTTATTTTATCTGTTAGATGTTGTGAAGATTTACTCTACACTGAGTAGGAGGTCTATAACTCCCCTCCCCACCTCCCCTTCGGAGACTCCTATATGAAAAGGTCTAGGGTGCTCGTCGTCTGTGTTAGTTGTGAATATCAATTCAAGGATTTTGGTCTCAGTTAGAGTGTTTAGGACGAGACAGTATCTTTTTGGGGTTCACTCGAAGAAATAATAGAAAACGCTTTGATTTCCGTTTTAAGGAGTAGCTTTCAGGAGACAAATAAAGCTCGAACCACGCCCAGATTAGTCTCCTTCAGTTTAATTCAAATTTGTTTTCTGACGAGCATCACCGTCCTTTTCATATGGAAGTTACCCCCCCCCCTCCCCCCCGGGGTCCGTGATCGAGACATTCTTAATCATGGAAGATATAACGTGGCGCCTGTTACTTTTACTTCCCTCATTTGTCTTATTCTGACGATGCGTTTGTAGAAAGAACTAAACCAAAGCTTACGAGATAGCACATTTAGTTATTTAATAGACCCTATTCGTATTTTCGGTATTGGACTGGAACTCGCTTGCAACTGAGACTGATGCGGGGAGTCTTTTCAAATGCAAATGACATTCATCTTTTTT